CTGTATCGAACGGTTCAATATCAATACGAATGTCGTTGCACCCCTAATACATACATATATATATATGTGTAAATGTATGTATGTATGAAAATAAAATTTATGCCACTGAAATATTTAGAGCGTTCCTAAAAGGACATAAAAGCTCTGCAGTTAATCGGTTTCACTCAAACCTGACGATGATTCTAAAACTAACCCCTCTTCTTTCAAACCTGCCCAACAGTTTTCAGTTACCTGATTTAAACAGAATATTTTAGTACTTGCCAAAAGCCAACAGTGACCTTATGACCAGTGTTTTTGTTTGTTTGTTTTCCTGGATGGCATTTCTTTATGGGTGAAACCTCAAAGAGACAAATCTAAATAGTGTTAGAAGCACAGTTTCCTTCCTCACACCACTAACCCTCTCCATCTGCTGCCCTTCTCTCTCTCCTGGCGTCTCTCATCACTCTTTATTTCTGAACACCCACTGAATTTGAATCTCACACTCTTTTCATCTCTTTCCATCTCTCTGCACCCCATTTGACTTTGAGCTCTCATTGCATTTCTCCAGCATCTGTCCATTCTCCACACAGTGTACACTTTCTCCCACGAATCCTCCTTCCAGCTCTTATCCGTGTCAGCCCGAGTAACAAAAAACATTCTCGTTTAGCTCCCTGACATAGTCGCAGCGTACGCTGAACTTTCCTGGCTTACTGTAATTTCCTTTAATAATCTGCAATAAAGGAAACACTCAAATTTAAAGAGAATAACAATTTTTCTTCTTAGATATTATAATTATTCTGATATGAGCACAGAGGAGCCGTAGCAGAGTTTTGTCAGACAGGCATTGGATCTCTTTTACAGATTTCATTAGGCTGTGATTGGGACTTTGCTCACTGGGACACGTCAAAGTTATACTCGGCTTCCCTGATGCCCCGAGACAAAGGACCTGTTCTGTGAGCTTATTCTCCTGCTTGTGTTGGTTTTAATAGGACACAAATCAGAAATAAATGTAGCCAGCCATTGCTCAGTCTAAAGGCAAAGACTGCAGTTGTGTCGACCCATGGTGTCATTAATGTGACGCAGTTATAGTAAAAGTGTGATAGGACTCCAACAAAACCCACCGTACATCAGAACTGCTCAAAACAGACCTTTGGATTCAGAGATTGTGTATAAATGTTGCATGAATTTAAGAGTCTGTATTCATTTATTGATGGAAGTTTATTTTGGGATCTCTCCTAAACAGAAATCTATTTTGTTTTTGAGTAATCTTAATTTTTTTTAAAAAGTGTTTATTTTGTTTTGTTTTTTAATCACAGTCCTGTTGATTTGCTTTGGTTGAAGGCCCAAAGCTCTTTGGTTTGTACGAAGCTTAGGGAACACAGAACAAATCATCCAGTGAAAGCAAAGGCAAAGCTAGACAGTAACCACAGACACCTGCATGTGGTCTGTCCCTCTGCTCTGCCTCTAATGCGTCCGATAGTTTAAGAGCACGACTGATACCTGGTGCACATTTCTGGTGCCAACGGGATCTCACAGCTGCGACTGATGCCTTGGGATGAAAATGTGCTGATTTGACATTTTAAAGCAAACTAACAGCCATTATCATTTTCCCCTTTCTCCTGCAGGAAATGCAACATAACTGTCCCAGCTTTTGCTTTCATGTCCACTGTTCTCTGCTGGTCCTGAAAAACATTTCTGTTCTGCTCTGCACTGCTTAAACTCTGCTTAGTTTATCTTTAGGTACTTTAGAGGTTGTTGGTCTTTCGTGTAGCTGTTTTCCATCACTTCACCTATTTTATTACAGTGGGACACTGTAATACTGCAGAGAACTTTAAAGATAAGTCAGGATATCACAGCCTTGATTAGCCAGTGTGGAGCACTTCAAATTAAATTTCATGTTGAGGTGAGAGGGCAACGTTTCAAGGAGTCGATCTGGCTGCTTGTTTTTCCTCCCTGCTGAAAAATTCACTATGCACAACAAATCAAATGTTTTGTTCTATGATTGCTACTTGCTCACCTTGTTATACTCCATGATTATCCATCAAAAACTCCATGAGACAAAACAGCATTTATGTGAACGAGAACTTTAAAAGTTTTGATGATTATTTTTAAAATTGCAGAAATAAGAACAGTTTGTATGTTTGTGACCCAACTAAACAAAAGTAAACTTTCCAACAATATCTGTTTGAAGAATAAAGTTTTAATTCAGTGTTCAGCTCTTGTGCTGAGAGAAGATTACTTTGTCACATACGGGATCTTTCATGTGCTCAAAGAGAAAGCAGTGACGCTGGATCTCCTTCTTAACAACGTTTAATATTTACACGCTCAGCTAGCTTCTAAAGATGTGAGTAAATGCTAATAAATCCAAACTGCATGCAGAGGGCGTTCAGGTTGTGGATTTGTTTAATCTGATGTGTGCAGAAGGAAGTGAGCACACAGAGTGGACCCAGTGAGAGCGACACAGAGGAGACAATTAGTGGCTGCAGTAGCTTTGACAGCCGCTGCAGAGAACCCCCAGCAGCCACAGACACAAGATCTGGCTTCACGCTGTCAGTCAGGATGGTCCTACAAGTTTAAAACCAGCATGAAGTGTGTGAGTCTCACAGTCTGCAGTAAGCATCTACATGTTATAGTGGGAATTAAAGATAAGTAAACCCGTGTCCACACTCACGGCACATTTAGCTTTAGTGAAATCATAAAAACTCCAGCAGACAAAGAGGCCTTTGTAAAGTGTAAGCCAGGCAAGCAGGAGGACGTATACAGACAGGACGTGGAGCGATAAAATCAATCTGAAGAACGGCATGTCCTGATTTATTGTCGGAAAATCTTCTCCAGGCCACCGAAACCCAACGTTCATCCTCTCCAGGTTGGTTTTTCACTTCTGTTGGCTTGTTGACGTTGATTCGACACTAACGGCTTTTTGCCTTCTTACAACCACTTTTTTCATTAGCCACTCTTTTTCTGCCAAAAAGCAGATGCAAGAAAACTCGGTAAATGGACTGGTTCTTATAGAGCGCTTTTCTACTCTTCTGAGCACTCAAAGCGCTTTACACAACTTGTGCATTCACCCATTCACACAAGCACATTGTTCTAGGTGCTTTTCTAAGTAACATTCACACTCCGATGGATGCATCGGAGAGCAATTTGGGGTTAATACCTTGCCCAAGGATATTTGGCATGCAAACTAGGGGAAGCCAGGAATCGAACCACCAAACCTCCGATCAGTAGATGACCTGCTGTACCGCCTGAGCTACAGCCAAGCAGAGTACATGCAAGTAGGGAAGATGTGCAGCAAATGTCACATAGGATTGAAACCTGTGCCACTAGATCTCACAGCAGCTGCTCTTCCCATTGAGCCAAACCAGCTCTGGTTGGTTCAGTAGAATAGCTGAATAATTAAAATACTTTGTCTTTATTGGGCTGTTGCATGGCAGCTATCAAAGTAAATGTGGTTACCACAGAATGAATATGAAACACCTGCTCTTACGTTTTCAGGCCTCAGCTAAATAATGAGCAAATAGAAAAGCCCATTCCTGAAAAGAAAAGAAATCTCTTCAGTTTGTGTTATTTCTGTTTGCTCAGATTAGCATCAGATTAGCATCAGATTAGCATCAGATTAGCATCAGATTAGCATCAGATTAGCATCAGGCATGCATTAGAAAACAAATGAACTGTAGCAGCTGCATGCACTTCCTCCCATGACCACAGGAGGTTGTTTCCACAAACAGTGACGTTTTAGTCAGAAATCGACCACCGTTATTGCTTTTCAGCTGAGGTTGGCTTTATTTTCATCCGTGGCAGCAGATGGACTTCAAAGCTGTGTTTAGTCTGCTTTAGGATCCCGTTGTCTGTTACATGCTCATTTTGTTCTTCTTCTTCACTGGCTTTTGCTTTTGCAGTTAACACTGTGGTTTATTGACGTTTCTCCTCCAAAGCGTGAAGCTTGACTCTGGAAGGTCTCTGATTTTATAAAAGGTTAAACGATTCTAATTAGTCGAAAGTGCAAAGTGCTGACACCGAGTTGCAGAGCTTTCCTCTGCCTGCTGTGCCGGGTTGATACTTTAATACTTCTGCTTGCTGCTTTAACACTTTTCTCTCCCTGTTTTTCAGTATTTTCCTTTTCTGTTCTCTCTGTGTGAATTCCATTAATATTAGCAGAGCCTCATCTCCTCATTTTTATTGAAGTTAAATTTGTATTCATTTACACCTTCCTGTGAAGCTGACCAAGCATTCCAGAGGAATCTTTTTAAGCCTATTTTGATATGCAGCAAAGTAGAAAGTGTGTGTGCTCTAAACCCAGCTCCCAGCATCCTCTTGGGGCTCCATGTGACAAGCTTTGATGTGGATAACCTGCAAAGATAGCCAGTGACCTTCACGTATCCTTGCAGCCTCTCCAGGCTGGTAGCTACCTCGTCAGGTCAAACTTTGAAGTGGTCCAACTGATGAAGAGAAATGACCGTGGATAGGCCTTACCACACGTCTTCGTCTACATCTGCTGCTGGACATGTGGGCACCATTTAAAATAAACGTAACCCCATGCAACAGTTATTGCAATTTTTTTTAAATCAGGGAGGCTCGTTGAGATTAAACTCTTTCACAGAGATGGGAACATGAAGCATTTGCCAGAACAAAGCAGACGGGAAAAAACGGCACAATAAAGACATGTTCTCCTGTCCCTCAGCATTACAGTCGAGTGGTTTGATGCACCAGTTTCTACAGTGTTGGCTGTTGGCTCAGGAGTGGCAGCAGCAGAAGGCGGTCTGAAGATTGGTTTGGGTTTAGACCTCATTCACAATCACCTGACGATCTCTGGCTGCTAGTGGAAAATGTGTGTTGCTGCTGTTGCAAAGCTAAATGTGGCTGCTGCACTGAAAACCTTCTTGTGGTTTCTCTGGTTGCGTGTAGATTTGTGCAGTATTGGACAAAGGAAGTGGAGAATGTCAAAGTAAAAGTTGTGATTTTGAGGGGAAACAGCCTCTATTCCTATTTTGTGTCACACGTTTCAGTGTCACTGCTCCTCTGTGAGTAGTCGATGAATGTTTGCAGACATGCAAACTACAGGTGATGACAGAAGCATGCAGGTAATCATAGAAGACATTTTCGGTGCTACGTGTAGTTTCTTATATCTCTTTGCCTAAAGTGTCACCTAGCGACTCCCAGCAAATCTTAATCGACTGGTCAAGGTTATTCATTTTCCCCTCTGACCGGTGTTTGCCAGGAGATCACTGACCAGTGACGCGAGAGTGAAACACTAAAAGCTTACAAAAACACTAGAAAATAGTCTGTTGGGGTTTTCACTCTAAAAACGAATTGGTTCGTTTTATGAAAATATGGTGGTGTGTGTTAAAATGCGCCCAAACACAGCAGTGAAACCTCCCAAAACGATGTTGGGAGTGACAGCATCACACCCCTCCCCCAAAGCCTCACCAAATCACCAGTGCATTTGCCAAAAATGACTCGCATGAATCACACATAAACAATTCTAACAAAGAGGAAAATAAAAGGAAACAAATTTCTCACTTATTCTTCTTCCCATCATGAAGCAGTGCCAACAAGTGAATCACATGAAGGCACAAAGAAACAGCAACAAGCTTTTCAGTGAATAATATTCACACTGACAGCGTACCACAGTGAGCAGTGTGAGAAAAAACAGGCACTGTGACACTTATCAGGTGTATCTGAACACACAACAAGTCTGTTTGTACTTGTTGAAGGTGAAATCATGCTTCGCAAATCTTTCAGCCACCAAAACGTTACTGTGGAAATAGTAAAGGGTACAAAGTAAGGCAGAGATACTCAGCTTCTGAGGAACAGATGCTAATACAGTCTCATGAAGACGTGGTTTAATAGTAGCCTACCTATTGAGACGCACAAAATCACACATTCCACTTTCTAAATGTAATTTGTGTTTTCTCATTTGTTTTCAGTGCCTGGAGCTCCTCCCAGGAAGGTGGAGGTAGAGGCCCTGAACTCTACTGCCCTCAGGGTGAGCTGGAAGCCCCCGCTGTCCGTGAAGCAGCATGGGCAGATCAGAGGATACCAGCTGGTTTACTCCAGGCTAGAGAACGGGGAGCCCCACGGCCAGCCGGTCCTCCTGGATGTTAACCTCCCTGAAGCCCAGGTATTCTCACACGGTGTCATTCAGGTTGATGTAACTGGGTGAGACAATGAGTGAGAGCTGAAGACGGGGGAGTTTGGTTCAGATCCCCGAAGTTTATTTGACGTAAGTTGTTGTTTTAAGGCAGGAAACAATTTTTTGGTCTTTAAACTATTGACTGAAGCAATACACTCATCAGTAACAGGTCGTTTTTTTCACATGCTCTACCTTTGCACAACCAACCTGCTAATAGACACGAGGTGCATGTTTCAGAGTCCGTAATCATCAGAAGCAATTAAGCTGTGAGACTAATATGTATGTACATGTGTTAATTCCCCGTTATTACTTTATGTTGGCTTGAAAAAAACATCTCCCTCTGCTGGTGCTTCAGATTACTGCGACTTACTGCATCCGTGTCCATTTCACGCTTTGCAGAGGCAGAGCGTGAAATGGACACGGTGGACCAGCGTGTGGGTTGCACGTTTTGCCCTCTCATGTCCATTAGACAGAAAACATGTTTAAGTCGTTTCTTTAGTGGCTGAACTTTTAAAGAGCTGGAAACTAAGTAAATCTGCAGAACTGCAAAGCTCTAAAACAGCAGAAGAATATAATGAAATATAGGAGCTATTATTAAAAAAGAAATAAATACTGAAAACTTTTTAATACAATCCAAATGATTTTGAAAGATTTTTAATCATAAATGTTGATTAAAAATGTTTATGAAGCAGGAAGTTTATAAACATAATTTGTGCAAATTATTATTTTAATCTTCTCCTTGAAAAGAAAAAGGATAAACAGGTTACAGCTGTGTGTGGTCTGCAGCCTGCTGTGATGAAAAAGCATCAGATCCCAACATCGGAGCATTTCTAAAATAAGGATGTGCATCCAGTACCTCATCCTGTACCTCCCTTTGTTCCATTAGAATAATTGGATTCGACGTTTCTTTTTTCAGTTTATTTTTATTCCCGTCTCCAGTGGGAAAAAATAACCCCAAATATTAATAATTATTTGGCATCTGACATATTAGATCATCTGCAGAATCAAACATGTGCTTCTTCATATTTTTAATTAGTGTAATATTAAGGAATTTACTTTTCTCTAACCAGAAGCCTCGGTGATGATGATGATGAGGAGGAGGAGGAGGAGGAGTTTCAGCTGCAGAAAGTCTTTGTTGTGGTAGCACTACATGACTTGGTGCTTAGCGAGCTCGACTTTACATAATTCTTTACATAAAGACTGAAATCTATTTACCTTGAAAACACTTTTTCCAAAACATGAAGACAAATTTTTGTCTTTTTACATTATTTGTACTTAAATAACTTGAACATGAGCAAACATGTGTGTGCACGTGCGTCTCAAATGACGGCATGAACACACATAAGAAGAAAAAGATAAGAGCATCATCTCCAAAAGATGCATCACAGAATATCTAAGAAAGCCGACTGCTCGAACAACTGGCGTGAAATCACTGCACCAAAGACTGAGAGCAGGTCACAGGGTGGATGTTTAAAAGCTCTCGCTGAGGAGGCGCCGCTCAGTTCCTCTCCTCTCGGCTTGTTTTGTTCTCCTGGAGGAGCGTCTCACCTGATTTCCTTTATACGCAGCATTCCTGTCTTATCTGTGTAAGGCAGGAGGCCTGATAAAGGGCCCGCATCTCACAGCCATCTCCAACCTCT